AGGCTATGTGGCGTATGCGCAACGTCTGAGTAGTTCACCAGCACTTTGGCGATCTCTGGCGGCGAACAGGCGCAACTGAGGCGGACCGTATTCAAACGAGGTGAAAATGAACTACGACCAGTTCGAATGCGAATCGGACGCAATTATTTTTAACGCGGCGAACTAAAAGTTCGGGGCTATTTTTGGAGGGTATCCGCCCGCCAGCTGTTTCCAATACTCAACTAAACGGAAAACGAGACGTGTCGTCGATTTTCAGCCGCCATTGCAACGAAAAAAAATCATATTGCATTTTTATATAATTCAAGTTGGAAAGTTGTGTTAAATATGGAGTACGATCCGGACTATCAGAAGATCTGCTCTACGCGCACCGTGCAGTCCGATAAAAAGGGTTTCTTCAACGAGTTCTATTTGGATGTGCGCGATGCATGTGGCGACAAGTGGCTGCAAAACTATTTTGGAAAACTGAAATCAAATGCAGCTCGTATTCTGTCCATATTCAGTGATCGCGAGATCTGTGATCCGGTGCTCGGCGTCTTGGAGCATGTGCAGCCGGTATATAAGCAGAAAGACGTACTTCTTTCGACACAGCGACGCGCCCAGGCCGATAAGTTTTATCTGATGAGCTCCAATGCGGAGGTTGAGCAGGATCGAACCGAATTGCTGCAGCAGGCACTGATGCATGCCAATCTGGCCGTAATGCGGGCACCTGCTCCACATTTGGATACGAGCGTTGACAATGGCCTCACCCTGGCCATGGCCTATCTGACGCGTGCCAACATTCTCATTGGTCTGGGCGAAGGCGAGGCAGCGTTAAGTGATCTCAAGCTGGCCGCCAATTTTGGACTCGAGTCGAAGCAAAACGTGGAGTACTACTGCAAAATGGCCAAGGCTTACGCAGGCAAGTAATTGGGAACATAATTCAATTGACATGCCACTAATTATATTTCCATAGCTATGGCTGAGAGCGCACGCGCTGAAATCTCTCTGAAGATTGCCGAAAAGCTGGCGGGCCCAAATACAGCCATAATCGCAGCCTCCCGCAAGGAGATTGCTCAGATCAAGCCAGCCAAGCGGGAACAGCCAAAGGAGCTGGTGCCGGCATTAGCGCATGGCGAGAACCCAGCACTAAGCGGTGCTGCGAATGTGGTTAAGCTCGTGGAGACAAAGGAGAAGGGACGATTTGTGGTGGCCAACGAGGGTTTAAAGACCGGCGATGTGGTACTCTGTGAGAATCCCGTGGCGGCGTGTCTATTGCCAAACTTTTTCGGCACCAATTGTCACCATTGCTTCAAGCGGTGAGTTTATTGTTGATATAATTGGATTATCTGATTAATCTGTTTTTGTTCTTCAGGCTGCGCACGCCTGTGCCATGTCTGCATTGCTCGGGCATTGCCTTCTGCTCCGCCCAGTGCATGGGTGAGGCTTGCGAGACGTATCATCGTTTCGAGTGCCAGTTTATGGATTTGTTCATTGGCTCTGGTATGTCCATACTTTGCTTTGTGGCCTTGCGAATCTTTACACAGGCAGCCAGCTTGGAGGATGGTCTGGCAACGGCCAATCTACTGTTCGAGCACTTGTGCTCCCATCAGGATGTTCGCCAAGCGGATGACTATCTACAGCGTTCCCTAATGGCCGGCTTTCTTTTGCGCATTCTACAGAAGGCTTTGTACTTTGGACGACGCAAGACCGAAGGCGTCAATCCCACCGCTGTGGAGCTGCAAGTGGCCACAGCCCTGCTCGGATTACTGCAAGTTCTGCAATATAACGCACACGAGATCTATCACACCATGGTGACCGATGAGCACTGCTTCGACGGCTGCAAGGTGGTTTATGTGGGCGCTGGATTGTATGGCACCGGTTCCTACTTCAATCACGAATGTTGGCCCAGTGTAGCTGGCTATTATGTGGGCAAAAAGTTGGTCATGTCAGCTACTAAGCCACATCGACCCAACGAGATAGTCGCTGTGAATTATGGGCCCATATTTACCAAGATGAATCTCAAGGAGCGACAGCGAACATTGCGCGGTCGCTACGCCTTTAGCTGCAATTGCCTGACCTGCCAGGAAAATTGGCCCTTGTTGCAGAAGATCGACAAGCAGGTCCGATTCTGGTATGTTTTTTTAGCTATCTATAATCAATATATATAAAACTGGCATGACTTGTTGTTTATTTCAGGTGCACCTCGGCGAATTGCGTGAATTTGCTCAAGTTTCCCAAGGATCTGGCAAAGGACGTGCGCTGTCCTCGTTGTCGCAAGAATGTTTCGTTGAAGGAGAGTGTCGCAAAGCTAATTAAAATAGAGGAACTTTACCGAGAGGCTGCAGAGGCCATGCAATCCCAGAAGACAAATGAAGCAATTGAGCTTTTCAAGGAGGGAATCGATGCGTTCTTCCAAATAGCTGCACTGCCACACAAGGATACCCTGATTGCACAGCAGGCTCTGCTCAAGTGTATGGCCAACACGGGTACTACGTTCAAGAAGTAATTTTTTGTATTGATTTTTATTTACTGTTTCGAATCTATAAGTTTAATATGCGAGGATTTAGATAAATTTATTATTTTCACAAATTTGCAGCCATTTTGTTTAAGGGAAATCGCTTGAATGTGAACAAATAACGGATAAAATGTTAAATATTAATTTTGAGCGCAAAACTGAGTATAAGTGTTGAAAAACGTTCTAGCATATGGTCTCCGATTGATTGCTTATCGATATATCAAATTTAAAATTGGAGATACCATGATGTTATTTACAGCTTCAGCCCTAAATAATGGTTGTAGTGTTTATAAAAAGCATTGTTTATCTGTTAATGTTATTTATGTGCTGTTTATCTGTTAATGTTGTTAATGTTCCAGTTGTTTTGATGCGATTTATTCGATTATTTTGTCGTAGTACTTCGGTCACTGCTGGTTGTTATCGCTCATCTCTATTGTCTTAGTAGCCAGCTGATTTAGTTCGGCTTTTCGGCTTTTGCGTTGTTGTTTGGATTACTAAAAGGCGGAAAATGTTTAAAAAACTTAAACCTGGAGAAAGCGAAGAGGATGTTCTGCGTATGGCCGCAGAATTTAATGCTGAGCGCCAGAAAAACCCAAACTTTCAGCCAGCGGCCACAGTTGTACGTGTGGAAAAGCGTGAGTCTACAATGTGCTCTATGTAAAATATATATTAACATATTTTACTTCACTAAAAGCGGCCGTAAAATCATTGTTTGCACAAAAGCGAGAGCTTAATAAACTCAAAAGCCAAGGAGGTTCAATAATCGCTTCGGAAATGGTACCACTTGATATAAGGTTTGAAGATGTAAAAAGTAAACAAATACTGCTCGATGAAATACACGAGAATATGTTGGGTGATGTGCGTGGTAGCAAAGTAGATTTTGATCTGATAAATAGTGTAGTTGGTGAAATTGTTGAAAGAAGAGAAGGACTGCCGCGGCAAGCGGTGAAAGAACAGCAGCTAAATCAAGTAAGCACTAATACAAAAGTTGTATGCTTAAATGTAATCAAATTCCTTTATAGCAGAAAAGCAACAAGTCCAAAAGTATTTTCGCACAAAAATTCAATGCAAATCAAAAGTTGAATGTAAGCAGCCAAAATGATTCACAAAATATTAATCATGATAAGACACTACCAGTGGCCAGCGCTATGGTCCAAGATGCAAAACTGTCCACCGAAATACACGCCGAAAACCTGAATATACTCAGCCAAATGCGCGAGGAGGAAATCCTGGCAGAGCGACAAAAGTTGCTGAGCTCTTTGGGTAAATATGAATAAAACAGAAAAAGATTTTATGAATGAAATTTGTTTCTCCAACAGATCCTGCTTTGATTGAGCTGCTGGTCAAAAAACGTCAAAGCCAAAAGGGTAATCCAACGAAGCCTAAGCCCTTGCCCACCAAGCCCCAGCTTTCACCAGCGCCAACTACTTTAACCGATTCGAATCCAGCACACGAGCTGCTACAGCAAAGTGATGAGGGCAATTGGTTAAATTTCGATTTGATTGAGGAGCACAAATTGGCCTGGATGCGTGATATACCCGCGAGAATAGCACAGCTTAAGCCTGGACAACAGTTTAATGCTCGCTTCGATTGGAAGGGCGTTTTGTTGCCACACATACTTGAGGAATTGCCACAGAATGTGGATGATCGTGAATTGTATTTGCATGGTGAGGAACCTGAGCGGCCGGGCTACACGCTGCAGGAGCTCTTTCGTTTGGCACGGTAAGTTTGGCATATCCGCACCAACTATACATAATAGCAACAAATTATTCTGTTACAGCTCAACAGTGTTGCAGCAACGCATTTCTGCATTTGGTGCGATTGCTGGCATATTCAGCATTTACAATCAGGGCTTCTACGACCAAGTGCTTACACTGCCCATTTCCAAAATATTCTTTCTGCTGCGCTTTGGACTGGATGATAATACACCGGCACAACTGGAAGTCGTGAGCAGGGCTTTGGCTCGACTGTTCTACAATGAAACGGATGAAGTTCTCCTGGATCATATCTATGAGAATGCCTATTGCCATTGGCAGCCAACGCTGCAGGTGCTGACCGACGGCGACGACACAAGCGATTCAACATCGGTTGCCTTTCTGCAACGTTACATGACGCTGTTGCGCACAAATTCTCAAGCTGTAAGAGCCGATGTTGATGAGGATCAGGCGGATAGCGATAGCCGTATGTCTATGGATGACTTTCAGCTAGCCGAAACAGATCTGATGAGTTGCCTGCTGCGAACGAATATTTTACAACGCATTAGGTATGTCTCTTTTACAATATGTTATTACTTCTAAAGCGTGTCTTACTGATTACAGCTTCATATTGAGCTCAGTGCGTCCTGAAAACAGCACAGTCGAGTCCTGTCTAAAGCTGCTTATTCGCATCGCACGCACTAATTTGTCTGTGGCCAGGCAATTGGTTGAGGAAAAACAACTTATGAATGTGATTCTGCTCAACTTCATGCCCAAAATAACGCAGTCCGGTAAGTGCATAAACAATAAGCTTTATAAGAAATGTAAATATATATTTATTTTTCAGCTGCTACCAACACAGCACAGCCTTCATTCTACGGCCATCCTCAGTATCTGTGCTTGAAGCTGCTGCGTGTGTTGATCTGCCAGCACTTGGACATAGCTAAGCAGTTGGCTAATGGAGCGCTAATCCAGAGATTAAAAGACTTTTTGTTCTATAGTGATAATATAAAGGTAGGGTTCCAATATAATATGCTAGTTTTAAAACGGTTTATTCATAATGTTTAATTTTTATTGCAGGGTAAACTAATTCGTGTTCAAATTGAAGCGCTGCGAACTTTACGCTGTCTGCTGCTGCTGGGAATTATAGATCGTGAATTGTTCAAGTGAGTTTTATATTAACCGAGCAAATCATTAACAGCGGCTTTAATGAAAGGTCTATCCGTTTCGATGTAGCATTGAACCGATAGATATGCGGTGTCGCAGCCATCAACACCCTCTGCAATCGAGTAGATAATAGAAAAAAAAAAAGTAGGCTATAAATTAAAAGTTGGGCTGCAATACTACCATACATACTTTTCGTGCCACAGGCATCTACCAAATTCAATATCTTAGGATGAATTTCCACTGGCAAGACCTCAACCAGAGACTCCAAGTGCATAACGTTGTCGCTGTCCATCTGTGACAATTTGCTGATTAAACGACATTTTTTAAATGAAGTATGTGTGTGTACATACCAATCCAACCGTTTCAAACATGCAGTGTAGAAAGCATTTAAAGGTCGGATCGTTTGGCAAATTACCCTTATGCGCCTCGGTCATTAACTCTGCAAGGGCAAAAATCCTTAAAGCAAGCTTTTACTAGTTAGCATTTCACCTGTAACCCACCTTCGGTGACGCCCGTGCTGGCCATGCAGCGGTCATGCAATTTTTTCACCTGTTTCTTCAGTACATCAGGTATTTCCCACTGAGTGCAAGTTTTTAATTAAAAAATAAAGACCAAAAACTTTACGTCAATAGGAACTTACGGCCTGATGTGGCGTTATGGCACTGCATAAGACCAGTAATGCCAAGCTCAGGCCTAATGTCTTGGAGTACATGTTTGTTGCTGCTTAAGTTATCCGCGTTAGACTGCAACCCAGTGGCTGTTGCGCTCAATACTAAGCCCTGCCTGGAAGTTGCCTGCTTATATAGCTAATCATTTTGGCGGTGCCAATGTGCCGGAAATAATTCCTATTATTGTGCTTTTGCAGGCAATTCCTACCTGCCCTGCGTCAGATGCTTGACTGGCACTATAATCATTGCGTATTCGAAGTGGGCGGTCCGGCACTTATACGACAGCACGCAGCTGCCCTGGTGGTTGCCATTGTGGCCAGTGGTGAGTGCGGTGTATGTGACATAGAGGCGCAGCAACTATTACTAGAGCCATTGCATAACTGCTGCTGCAGTTGGCTGCACAAGGCGACACGTGGCGAGGGACTCAAGGATGTGAGTAAAGTATTATTGATGCCTTCAAGTACCTTTCTAATACAATATACATTCCAGTACACTCAGCTGACGCTCTTAAGTGCTCTGCTCTATGCTGTGGGCTGGTTCTCACGCCATGGCTACCTCGGTGCAGCGTCCTTTCAACAGTTCCTGCGCAAAATTCTTCCTGAATTCGTTTGCTCCGCTGGATTTGTTGCATGTGTGCAGCAGTTGGCGTGAGTATACTTGACATGCGGCCTTTATAAGTTAATCAGTTTTAATAACTACCTTTCAACCCTTCACAGCCAGAGCTCTATAATTTTGCACAGCATCAGTGATCGGCGCAATGTGCACGGACCGTTGCCAAACGTGGGGGCGGTCCTAATGAACGACTATGGGCCGCAGCTTATTGTAAGCAATACATGTCCAGTGCAGTTGTTGAGTAATATCTGGACATTGCTTGAGCCGCCGCTGGAGGATGCTATGAAGCCACTCTTTGAAGCTCTGCTCCAACCTGCTGTGCTGGAGCCCTTGGCAGAGTATTTAAAGCAGTTGAGCACCCGGCTGAATCGCTTTTTGGCCAGCAACTTTTTTGCTCGAAGCGAACTGAAGCTTGTCCATCAACTACTAAGCACTGATGGCTTTGAAACCTATTTGACACGCACTCAACTGCTGCAGGTGGTCTATAACTATCTGTGCTCCCTAAGTACTGCCCAGGCCAAGCAAATGAAAAGCATATTCGATCGGTACATCTTTAGCGGACAGTACGTGGAGTTGGATTCAAAGTCGTTGCAGCTGCTACAGGAAACTTGCATGGAAATTGTCTACTCACATTTTATAGCCGTACGTTATTATTTAGTGAATGTAAATGCTCCACTAAACCCTTAATTATTTTTATGCAGGACAACAAGGATCCTACGCTGACGCTCTGCTATACTCAAGCGCCTGTGCTGATGCCAGATTGGCCATATTTTCAACTGCGACTGCTACTCAACAATTACTTGCAAAATGTGCAGCAGGCTCCAGCGGTTATATATTCAGGTGAGTCGAGACACAAGGTTCTATGCTTTTATTTGTGTTCTAATTTCATTTAATCCCCACAGAGAATCAGGTGGTGCGCATGACCTTCAGCTTTGTAGAGCAGCTAGAGCAGCAGGGCTTACAAATTATCAGCCCACTCGAAAAGTTAATGTATCTGATGATAGCTTTTATGGGTCCCGACAGTCAGTTTCTGGAGCCAGAGCTACACAAGCTGCTGCACAAGCAACTGCTAGATTTCAACTCGCGGAATAAAAACCATATTTTCGACTTTGAGGCTACGTTTGAGGACAAGGCCAATTTCGAGCCGCTCTACTATCTGTTTGTAAACCACTTCGAGGCGGCCAGCTACGGCGACGAGCTGTTCAGCTCATTAGTGCTGCTCCCGCTGGCGCAAAAGTATGATAATAAGTGGCGTCGCCGAATCTGGTCCGAGCATGTGCAAGCAATGCGCTTTTTAAACTGTGACGAGAGTTTGGTATGTGCAAAGAATGTAGGTGAATTTAAATATTGTCCTAAATGCTGTTTTATTTTCCAGTTGATTGGAGGGCTTAATGCTTATCTAGAGCCCGTAGAGGATGAGCCCTCGCTGGTTAAACTCTATGGAGATGCACTGCAGCGTCAGCTGGTGCGGCCTGGCAGCATTGCCCACACAATTGCCAAGCATCATTTCAACAATTCACAAGCAATACAGAAAACAAAGACATTTTGAACAGCTGCACAAGAGTCGAATATCTTTGTGAATATTAATGTTACTTTAAGACACGTCTCCTTGGGCTAACTTTGTTGCCGTGATATAGTTTGTAAATTATGCAAAGCGAAATGCATATGTATTATTGAATCATTAGCTTATATTTCTGTAGTCAGGCAACCGTAGGGTTTATGGGCCACGGCCTACATAGATTACGCAGAAAACAATTAATATTGTGGTCAAGTTTTTTTTCTGCAGACTGGCTTTCGCCTGGGATTGTTATTCAATTACATGGTTGAGTGGAATTAATGCAGCATTACGTAAGAACGTATGTATGTGAGTAGAGATATATGTCATTCTTAATTGTTTGCGCGTTAACTATTAACTGTTTCTAGCAGGTTGACTTTGGAACGCAGAGAGAGCAGCGCTTCACTATCACCCTCAATTAATTAACATCACTTGACTTATTGACAACCGACAAACGCCGCACATGAGCCACATCTTGGCCGCTGCGGCTGTCGTCTATAGTTGCCCGCGACTGCTGATAAAATATATGTAATTATAATGAACGCAATTGAAAGGCCATCAGCTAATTAAATTATACGCCATAAGTTTGTCGATGTGTGTGTGTCCACAACACAAATGCGCCTACAGACCCACAGTCAAATGTCAAGTCATAAGGTCTTTCGTGTGGCATGCAGCGTATGTGTTATATATAATATGATTTATGATCCCAATAATCAACATCTTAAAAGCTCGTAGAAGCTGTTCTTAACTCAAGCAGATGCTGTTCCCTATACATTTAAGATTTTCGGTGTCCGCTAGGTCATTAACATTTAATTAGCATATCTCAAATTGAAGTCCTGAAAGACATTGCTTCAGTGACATACGGAAATTATGTTCCTTTGTACACACACAACAAACTCAAGCATTTGCATGATGTATGTTTACATATGTGTTTCGGTCCCTCTTGTTGGCCACAGTGAATTGCAAAATAACCTCAGGAGTTTTGAAAATTATATTACCTAAAATTTATAAAGGCATAACGGATTTTTCTTATCCTTAGCCAGCTCTGCTGGCTTTGGAGTTGCTCCACTTTGAACTCACGTATGATGGATGTTATCGCATATCTCATGAGTTGAATGTGTACAGAAATGCGTGCACCAGTTGGGCCTTGGGCTCAACATTAAATGTAACATTTATGTGTAATGTGTGTAGATATGTGTAAATAATTTCATTTTGATTTATTACCAATTTTTTTTGCTGATTTATTTATTTTTTTTAAGAATCTTGAGTAAGGTGCTTTAGGTGCTTTTTTTTTGGCGCTTGCCTAAAGGGATGTGAGCTCGGAGTCACCCAATAATAAATATTGTATTTATTTATTGATAAGTGTTGAAAGTAATTACAAATTACGTTCGACTAAACGAAAGCTAAAGCAAACAAGGCCTTAAGCAATTTGTATTTTATTGTATAGTTTAATTAGATTCGGAATGTCTGTCTGTTGTATAAACAATATATATACATTTTATGCTTATCTATTTAATAGGGAAATAGGCAACATTTTAAGCCACTTCAGTTAACAAATTGAAACAATACTGCACAGGCAGAGCACTTGAAATTCTATTGCATATTTATTTGCATTAAATGCCCCAATAAAATTGCGTACAATATTAGTTAATGAAATAGTTTAGGCCTTATCGGCAACGAGTTTGTCAATTATTTGTTTAAATATTTAAACGAACATAGTCTATTCACATTGTGTTAGCTATTTGAAGCTTTGCTATTTAAACAGGACTCAATTTATTTACATACATTTTCATGAGAGCCGTATTGAATGGTTGTGTGTATACAAGGACATAAAATACTCGTATATTTAGTTGTATGTACCTTAAGGCATATTTACATGCCACTTATATTACGTTGCACACTGAATGACAATGCAAACGAATCCTCGCAAGAGTATAAAAACATGCTAACCACCCTAATGGCCAGTAGAAAAAAAAAACATATGAATCAAAGTGGTGGCAGAGACGGGCAGACAGAGACCAGATACTCACATAAGTACATGTATATATATATATATGTATATATATATCCTTATACGTTTGTATAGAAAGCTGTAGAGCGAGACTTGCCACTCATGTGTCCATGGATTGAGTGAAATTTTCTGTGCTGCACGCTTCAGCGATTTGTCATCGATCACGTCACAGCTTTGCCCGCGGGCAATTGCCTGTTGCAGCTAGTTTTTGTTGTTGTTGTTGTTTTGTTTTATTTTTCTGGGCTCGTCGATTGGTCGCGGGTTCGTCTGTTCGGATGGTACCGTCCGCCGCTTTCATCAGTTGTTGCTGATCGCGCGAGCGTTTCGTTTTGTTTCAGTTGCTCTTTGGCTCTCTGCACGTGCGGTGCGGTTGGATCGGCTTCGCTGTTGCGACCATCTGAAATAGCTTGTGGCCACGCTGGCTCGTACTACATACTTGAAGTACATTTAAATATCTTCCAGTGAATAAGAAATCATATAAATATACCGCTTTATTTTCGGTTTGCTGCATAAAAAGCAGCCATTTCCATTGTTGTGTATGAGTTCAAAAAACCAAATGTTCGGTTGTACTTAGATATTTATTTTCGAACCGAACACCACAGACTGTGCTTCTTAAGTGTGCTTTGCAGTCCAGCCCCACTGCTATCTTAAAAATATTCGTAATTAGTGTAAAATGCATTTGCCAAAAGGGGGGCGTTCGCCCAAAGGGCAATGCCTAAAACAAAAGTGCAATGCCATAAAGCCTCACAATGCATGAGTAAAATTTTAAGTGCGGCCGCGGCATTTTAAAAGTTTTGTGGCGTTTCTTTTTTACGTTTCGTATTTCAAAGATTCACGTGTACAAAAAACAAATGTACTTGCACATACATATATAATAAGATTATATACAATTTTGTATTGTACAAGTACATAATTATTTTGTTAGTCATTATGTTTGTGCCGCGGTTTTGTGCCTTCTGCTGATAATGGCCATTTCTTGGTATTGAATTGTGTTTTGTTTACAGATTTGTGTTTTGTCTCGTGTTGTTTGCTTAATTCTCTGTTTGTCTTTAGCCGAGTGATACAACAAATATTACATGAACTGCATGGAAAGGCACAATTAACCGTCCTCGAATAACTACACAAAAAGTTCTTTCTCAATTGGATTTAAAACACAGTCAACAATTGGTAAGTTTTTTAAATGAAGAAAAATTAAAAAAAAAACATTAGTTTGTACAGATTTATATTATGTTTACTTTCGAACACTTTGGTCATGTGTCTGGCATCCGGTGTGAAGAATGAACTTCGAATGTTTATCTATTCATTTCTTAATTGAATGCTTAAGCTCTTTTAGATTAGTCTGAAGGGAAAACAAACAAAATCTTTATTTACTCAAACAAAAGACTTTTTTTTTTTTTTCATATAGCCCCGACCTGAAAAATTTCGTTTAGCTCAGCATTGTTATCAAAAGCAAAATTCTGTGGGCTAAATATCGCTATGTGCAGCATTTAAAAGAAAGTCTGCGCATGAAATTGTGCATACTTATGCATGTGTTTATTCATGTACTTAGTCCGTATACAGTTGATATACTTATACGAATTCTACAGTAGATAGGCGAATTTTCTATTCTGCTTTAAGTGTCTCTTAGTTTAAATGCACTTAAACCTGAGAGCTGTAATTGCTCTCTTGTGGATCTGGCTTTTGAGCTGCTTTTTCCTAGTCACAGTCTCTTTCGTTTTGCATTTTTTAGTTTCGGATCATCTCTTGACTCAAGTCGATTTGTGGCATAAATCACGGCAATGTGTGATGACCGTGGTTTTCTTTGTTCATGACAGAGTATTTACTAATCGGCGTAAATTTAAGTGCTTCTAATGTCTCGAATAACACGAGCATTCGGGCACAGTTTACGGTCACTTGCTGCATACTTGCTGCATACTTGCATATATATAATTATATATATACATATATATACATATATATGTATCTAGTATGATCTAGTGTCCACTTACTTTCGACTCAGACTCGCATATGCCTCTGTGCACTTTAAAAAGTAATGTAAACAGCAACATGCGGTCGCGTGTCTGGTTACATTCGACACTACCCGAAAACCTAGTGTCACATCTTCAAGTACTGCATATAAGATATGGCTGTTGGTAAATTAACTAATAGGCTTCCAGTACCATTATGCTTCATAAAATAATTCTGATATTGATAAAAAATTTTGTGTAGATAAAACAATTTCGTTTGATATCAACCGATATGAGCGTTCGATAACTTAACTAGTTTGTGCACTCTGTTTCCTATGTTCTTTAACAATATTGTGTAATTATTTTATTAACTATAAAAACCAAGGCTGAGAGCCCAAATAAAACTTGTCAATGATTATGTTCAAGGTTCGAGCCAGGTGTCTGCCTTTAAGTTCACTTCCTTAACCTGGTTTTCCACTCAAATGAGCTCAGGCTTTGAACCTTGATTTGTCTTATATTTTTAAAAACAAATGTAATGCCCGCTGTGCTGAAAATATTGCAAGCCGTACATATTTTCACATACAAGATGCGGGCTAAATTTGATCTACACCCAAAACTGGCATCCACCAAATATGGTATAAATGCATCGATCGGTTTGGGTTTGAACTAGTTTGCAGCTGGGGAAAAAATACAATCCATTATTTTTTTCGAAGCAATTTATTTTTAAGCTTTTAATCTATTGTATATATGTGAATTGTATGTATGTGAATTTCACAAACTCACCCCTAAGTTCTGTCAGTGTATATAATTAAAAGAACAAGCATGCTTCCAAATATCAGATGACGCCAAGCCGTACACCTGCCATTGGGACGAGTACACAAAAAGTTCGATTCCAGACTATCAGCTTTCCGGCGAATGACTGCAGCTGCTGCCTAAGGAGCTGCGCATGCGCTGTTTACTCAATCAACCCCTGTGATATTGAATATGCCCTACAAAGGCACCGCCATGTGCACGATTGACTTTATTAAGGGGTTGCGTTTAAGGGTGTGGAAGAAGCCTGGCCAGAAATGTATAGAAAGATCTCGAATAATTTTGAAAAGGATTTTTTATTTTATGAAGAATTATTTTGAATTGTTATGAACTATTATTAATATATTATATTAAATAGTTTAAGAGTAGGAGATTTTTACCAGAAAGATGTGTCAAGCGGTCCATTGTACGACTGGAAGCCAGATTTCGCATTCTCAGCGCCAGTCGGAATTCGTTCCGTGGTGCATTCGACAACCCATCGACAGAATAATCCAACTGCATCCTGATAGCTTGTGACTTTTGACTTCTGAGTAACCGGCTGGAGACAGCGAGAATTCTCAGGCAAGTGGCGCTAGCGTCGGGGCGCACCAAAGGCTTTTCATGTCAGCAACAGATAATAAATAATATATATGTGAAATGACAATGTATGACACGAGCAAAGCAAACACAAAGAAAAATCATAGGAATGTGGACGCTTGGAGACAATGCAAAGCTGACGACTAAACTATTAAATCATTGACCTTGCGAACTTTGACAAAACGGCGAATACACGACAGTCGGGGCGCAAAACGCAGACTGCAATCGCCAAATAATGGGCTGGTCGCGTGGTGGGGGGAGGGGGGCGGTGGTTTGGGCTGGGGTCACAACGGAAATGCTCGGAAAGCGACTTGGAAATTATGCAAAGCTTTCAAGCAACGAAAATAGCAATCGCGCCCGCCTACTGAAACGCGCACAATTTTCACCTTTTCGCCGCATTTTCCGCTTTTAATCAAGATTTATGGCAATTGACGGAACATACAGAGCTCAAAGGCGTGGGCTGGGATAGAATGGTTCACTGTAAAGAGACCCACAAAAACTGTGCTCGTGTTTCGCTAATCAAAGCCGCGGCTCGTCGCTCTTGTCTTGCCCCACATAAAGTAAATCTTCTGGTAGCGGCTATTAATTGAATACGACTTTAATTAAAATACGCGTAATTTTCGTAGAATTAGGGAACCGCTCAACCCAAGACCTGACCACAGAGATTGCAAATCCCATTTCAAGATTACAGCTTGGTGCTTTGATGTGTGTTTTTTGTGCGGGTTCGAGTTGTGTTCCATTGAAGGGGGCAAGTTTTTTCAACAGGGTCAGCGGCCAAAAATGTTTAGCTTTATTAAAAACACGCCCTCACATAACCCCAACAATATTTGCCAGCTATTTTCCCACTCATAAGTAGTTAAAATGAGCGCATTCAAAATTAATAATGAGTTTGTTCAGTGGACCCAACATTGGGTCAATGAATACGATTCTTGAAGATGTGGGTCACAAATTGTGCACTGAGCTGTAAAATTTGGAATTCATGTGACCTACGACTCTTTAATTAACAGAACCTGAATGTATTTCCATAAGAGGAGAGCAGTTAAATTTGTCAGAACCAACTTGAAAGTATTAACTGATATTTCTTAGTACTTATTTTTGAATTGGTTTAAGCTCTCAATATATTGTATAAAATCTTCCTAAGGTAGATGCTGTCGCCATGTGCCTTAGACAAATATCTTTTCAATATTGGAAAAGTTGTTGATTAGATCTCTTAATACTAAGCTTTTATTTAGGCAAAATTCGTTGAAAAGACTAACAAGAAATTCGGAGCGCGTGCAAATGACCCAGCTAACATTTAATGGTTGCCTTTGGCCTGAGCATGATTATGAATAAGTTCTAAAAAGAAACTGTTGCATGCTCGAAATTATGTTTGTTGCGTGCCTCAAATCGGTTCCCATTTACCATTACTGGCCAAACTTGTAGCCAAAGTATTTAGCAAGTAATTAGTATATAATGCAATGTTCTAATTATGTTAAGAAAATTGTACGTGAATTCGCAATAAGTCTGAAAATTTTACGTAGTGTGGCAGATAAATATATATCAGGACTGCAAGCCCAGATATTTATTTATGATATATTTGAAAAAAGTTAAAATTACTTTTTTTAAAATTTTTAATAAAATTGCTGGTACTCGGCTCATTGTGCAATCCGAGTGTACATGATTCTATTCAAGTTGAGTTTTGTGAAAAAAAAGCAATCAATAAAATAAATACATTTTAAATATATTTTCTCGATTGTTTCGACTTATTGTTCATGGAAAAATGCATGTATGTTGTGTTACGTGCGCTCCCTAAATGTAAATACATTCAAGAATTCGGAAAATACATAACTGTAGCTTTTTGCTACCATTTGCGGGAACATTGTTTAAAGTGCTTCTGGGCTTGAAATGACTTTTTAAGCACCAATCGGTTGGGTTCTCACATGATTGACTTTCCTGTTAGTTACGAAAAAAAAACTGTCATAAAAATATAGTCGAGAGCATTTACTATATTTACATTCGCATACCTCGGCTTAGTCTTAAGTCAATCGGCACGAATATGAATTGTCGAACGACAAGTCACACGTGGCGAATACACAATTTATTTTGTTTTAGTTTTATTTGTAGCAATTTTAGTTTCTTATATTATGTAATCGCTTCTCTTTTATGATGTCGCATGAATTTCGCTAAAATGATTTCTGCTCAGCTCAACTTTATTTATTGTGAGGCATTGAGAGTGATCATAAAAGGGAGCAGTCCGAATGGCGTTGGCATTGATTTCGTCAAAACAATTTTCCTTATGCTCGTTTTACTTTCTTTTTTATTGACCTTCTAATGCTGCCAGGCGGCATTGTTTCGTCCTGTCGTGTTGCTTTTGTGTGGCTACACATATTTGTTTTTGTAGATTTTTGCACTTAATTTATGCTGCCGCAAATGAAGCAAATAAAAGCTGCAGTCACAGCAAACACCCACACAGCCGCGCAGGCCGTATCCGGGGACATTCGGCTCCCGGGTACTTACCAAATGGCATTTTAGTCGTAAATATATGCTGCCACACAAATTTACGACTTTAAATCATAAAAAAATATACATCGCTTATTGGAATCCAGCTTTCCCAAAAGACCTACACAATACCTATATATAAATATATATATGGATGTGCAAGTACTCGAAATTCCACAGGCTGGCTTTCAGTCGGAGTTGTTCACAGGTTTCCTGTTGGCGACATAAAAACTCGCGAAATAATATTTATGGCACTTTTCAATGCAAATTTACGGCCGAAAAATAATATGAAATACTCGTACAAATGTGCGGCATAAAAAAGGCGCCGAAACTTTTGTTGACTTGCTGGCGACGGACAAGATTAGGGCTAAAATGTTGCAAGCTTTAATGGCTTTGCGCTTATTGAAAGAGCTGAAACTAATTTTTACTACTAACAGACATCAGTTGGCCATATCTTTCAATTTTACTCAGAAATCGCCTATGGCAATAATTGCCCAAAAACTTGTTCTTGAGTATTCGTTTTTTTGCTTTCAAGAAAAATTCCACTTAAAACAAAAATAGAACTCTTTGCTATGCTTCAGTTTTTTTTTATGTCTTCCCCTCCGCTCATATTTATTCATTGTGTTTGAACTGACGAAGCAGAAATTTTGAGACCTTTGATGGCAATAAAAAAGGTTAATAAACTGAATAAAATCTGTGAAACCTTTATTTGATTGCTGCTTATACATAAATAATGAATAATGAATACCTAAAGTGCGATAGGAATTTTTCCAAAACTGATTTCAGCAAAGAATTTGAGCTTGGCGCTGACGGTATGCAATTAAATTTTTGTTGCGGCTCATGTTCACATCGAAACCTGTTTAATTAATACAGTTTTCCGCTCTTCAATAGAGACCCGCTCAACTTTGTTCATTATGTTCGATTCGATACAGATTGAAGAAATGAAATGATTATGTTATGCTTAGACTTAACTTAAATTTTTAAATATTGTTCACTTGTGGATTGGAAAGTCACTAATTCCCTTATCAATGAATAAAAGTTGATATATTCTGTTACAATTAACGAACTTTACAGGGGGGTATTTTTTGTGTTATCCATGACGAAATCGTGCTCCTTGTAAGTTTCTTAGTGAGTTTCTCAAATATTCGCTTTCACTTTTACTCATTTGACAATTAATTTCCATCTTAGATAGGCTTAGATAGGGTAAATTTTTAGATTTACTTATAAGGTCTTTAATTTATCTTTTAAGCATATTCAACTGTTTAACTCGTATTGTCTTACACAGCTCTTCTACTTGTATTTATTTACGTATTGTATTTCAAAGGATCCTCTTAAGTTCTTTGTTAAACTTTGGCCTTGTGCACTAGTATGGCTTTGTGTCCTATTTAATGTTAAAGTTTTCCGCTTGTAAGCATTACGTTTATTGGGCAACGCCTTGGCCCTGACAATAATACCGTCCAAATCAGCACACGCTTGACTTGTTTAACTTTTGTTGTATGTTTTTGACACTTTTTTTCGGCATGCTGCCAGCTTGTCATTGCCTATGTAGGTTCGCAGGACTCGGCCTGTTAATCAGCTTTGATGTGCATCGGTGCTAGTCCTGCGAATACGTACACACACACACACACTCGCTTTCCTTACAACTTGGCCACATCGCCGCTTGTGTTGATGAACGACATACATGGAACATATAGATGGGTGGGCGTGGCATGGGAGAACATGCTTCTGTCCGAAAGTTTTCTTTTTGTGCGTGCCGCATTGCTGATTACCATTCGTACATGTATCGCTTCTCATCTAGTATAAAAACGATTGATATCAATATTAGGGCATAAACTTTGGCCATCGCAAATTTGCCGTTCGACACGGAAGGCACGTTCAAACGGCATCACAACACACGTTTACCCATGGTCCGTGGGCCATGTGTTTTGCCATTGTGATGATGTTTTGTCATTAAGAGCTGCTGCCTCAGCAATGGCAGCTCTTAAATTCGGCGTCACCATATTTTATTGTTGCCTTACTTTTTGTATTGTCTTGTAATTGAGGTCAGGTAATAAAATTTATATATATGTATATGCTCTATATATGAACATGTACGGCTGCTTCATGGTCAAGGTAGAAATATGCAATTGCCATTTAATGGCTTGCCAATTTACTGGTGAGTGCCAAGAATCAAATGCCTTAAAAGTTAGGATATACATGTAAGAGCAATTTTTAGCTTCACAGGATATTCGTTGACAGGCAATTCGTCGAGAAAATCGCAACTCTTTACGAGCAAAGTTAAATTTATCTCATGCCCATTAAGCAGGCAGCCTTGGGGCGTACATTCCATTCGTCTACATAGCAATGGGCGTAGGGGAGGGGGTATTCATTGTGGCGCAGAGACCACCAAAGTAGTAAAAATCTTGTTTTATTGTGGCAATTGAAATGCGAATGGGCGTTGAATTAGGCAATGAAAAGAAAGCGTAGCAGCGCTTAAATACGCATAGGCATATAGTCCAATCAGAAAATAAAAAACAAAGTTAAAAGCTTGAGAATAACAACAAGGAACAGTAATAATACAATCGCAAAATCGTAACAAGGCAACGCGAAATGAGCATCGGAAGCAATTGGTTCATTGTAGGGTCATTAAAAGGGGCCTAGCTGTTGGGCCGTCTCAGCCGTCTCTTCGTGGCTCGGACAATGCCAACAATTATTCAGATAAGTTTTTTATAACTTTTTCTTTGTTGTTTATGTCATGCCTTTTAGCAGCTGTCAAGCGATTCCAGCTTGGTGGGCAACTGGCCTCCACTTGAGGCTAGAAAAATATCAATGGCTGGAAACCTGGATTGCGGTGACAGAATGCAAATGAATTTGTTAATGGCGCAATTAATCACAACTAAGTCTAAGCCATCATAAATCATGAATCTCTTTTTAATGCCATCATTATAAAATATTTTCATTTCAAAAAGTGGCCGCCATCCGTGCTGCCACGCCCCCAGCTCGTTACCAGGCAGCGCTGTCTGACAAGCTGTTGCGAAAACCTTTAACCCCATAGCTTGGCGCTTATCAAGTTCCACCTGGCTCCTTTGAAGACTATAGGTCAAGGTATAGCTTCTTGGCGTGTGTCTGTCGCTGGCCGATAAGCGTTAGCAAAGTTTTTGGTCTTTGGGGGCCTTGCTGGATGCGTGGACATCCGATTGCTAGCTGCCAGCTGTCGTTTGTCCCTGTACCCCGCCTGAGGCCCCCTAGGCCTATAGGCTCAGCTGTGTGTCGTTGGGCTCATTGAATTAAGCGCTTAATTGCTTCAATAAATTTGTACAAATTCCACGTAGCTCGAGTGCAAAGTTCCCACATATTTCATCAAAAATTGCATAATTGGCGTAATTATCTGGCGCTCTCATTCAGGCCTCTGCGTGCCGTTCACTTGTTTCAGTTTGACTCTTCCAACATATTGTGGATTTTTCCTAATTGCGCGTTCTGTTTACCTCCTGCATTGACCCATAAATGCCTGCTGCTGCTCACGAGTCTCAGGACTGTGAGAAATTGCCGCCGCTCGGCAATCAATTGCTGTAATTCCTTTCTTTTTTGTGTTTGCTTATGGGGCTGGCACTTCATATCCTGCTTGCGAATTCATCGCGCATACGCCAGGTGTGCCCGGGTGAGCTAACTCACATGGCAACCATTTCCCTTGGGATCACAGAGACCGCTAATCATGATTAATTTGCATCAATTTGCTCGATGCTATATTTAGCAACCGATTTGTACACGAACTTACCCACAGCATACTTGTTTCCAAAAAAAAAAGTAATAATAACCATTTACATAGCGGAAAAAAGTATTTATCCATGCTTTCAGCTTTGACAAGGGTATCTGAATTGAAAGTCTATAAGAGTATTTATTCGCGATTTCCCCTGCATTTCTAAAGCTGTATTTGAATAGTTTGTCATGAAAAATATTTAAAATTTGTATATTTCAAAGATACTATTTCATGCATATATGTATATATATATTTTGCTTGTCAATAAAAAACACCCATTGTCATGTCAGCGGCAAATCACATACACTTTTTATTTATTTATGGAATTATTTGCACTATATTTGCAGAAAAATATTCGCGCTACAGCTGGAAAATATTTCTCGCACATAAATTGGATGAATACAGACAACGAAACCCAAATGCTTTCCTTGGTATAAAGCACAAAACGAAGGAATTCATTTAGCTGAGGTGGAGTGCGTGGGTTAAGACAGAAGAGCCGCCCGAAAAAAACTTGTGGCATTAGCTAACCACAGAAACCCAAAACAGACCGCCCAAACTTTTTTCAAGAGTCGCAGCGACCCAAGCGGCACACACACACACCCACACACACACAGAGAGAGACATGTCGGATACAACATCGTTTGAGATGGGGTCGGTCGATCGACCTAACCGCTTCCAAGTGAATCCTGTTAACCATCACAAGAACAACAATGACAATGAGGACCGCAAATCACACGCACCCCCGGCCGACGAGGTCTACCGTCGGCTGACCAACATCGATGGAGAGCTCCACGAGGACGACACTTTCGATGCGACCCAGTTGCTCAACAAACAACAGCCCAGGCAGCAGAGGTAAGCCCCCAACCCCCCCTCTCCATCCACAGCCCCCAACTAACATTTTTGAATGGCAGCAAACTTTTTAAATTTGTCCATTTTCTGCTTAACGTTGTGCTTTTCCTTATCCGCCGTTTGTTTTCCCGGCTGCTTTCTTGTTTTGACCTTATTATCAATTCCATGAATGGGATATTTTGTCATACTTATGTCCGTTTTATCATACATATGGCCAAAAGTGTATGGCGAAATTGTGCAAATGCGAGTTAGAGAATGAATTCGCAGCAAGGAGCATTTCAGACTCGGTAATTACCATCAATTGCTAAACATTTATTCGAGTAGCAGGAGCATTAGACATAAAGAACACGAATTTATGAAATTTGTTTGTTCAAAGATCTTTGTGAATATTTATTTGAGAGGAGGACTAATAAAGGTATTTCCTATCATGTTTTCACGACACGAAATACAAAAATGTAATTAAGAAAAATCGAATCTAGAATTTAAATCCAACACGGGCTCGGCGGATTCCTAAGTAGATCACAGATGCTTGCAATTATTTGGGGGAAAAGTATGACTGAAATTCCAAAATTTATAAACCTGCTTGAAAAAAGATCGCATCAATGTTTAGTCAATTGCTAAAAATATTGAAAATTGTATTGTATTTTCTTTAGCCTGCACGTAATTTGATAAAAAAAAAGAAGATTCAGCATGGTCGCTTGGCCATTGGCTTCACATCTATCAAATTACTTGAAAGTTTGTCGACCTGGCTTGTTGCCCCTAAATTGGCAAGTTCAACAAACATTCCTTGTCTTAACGCACTCGCAACCCCGAAAGAAGGAACCCCAATTGGCTGCAACAGCAGCCAAGACTAGAACCAATCACAGCCAAAGAAATAAACAATCATTTGTGTTGGCATGCGATGAATGCAATCGGGAGAAGGAACAACTGGGCGCCCATTTGCATAGCACACAGCTAGTTCAAATGGAGTTCTTGTTGGTCCTTTGCCGAGGTCACGACTGTTAATCACAACCACGGACCAGTGTCGACATTTCCATTTTATTAGTCTGCTCTTGGTCTGCTGTTCGGACCGTAAATTATCAAATGTAACCACAATACCATAAAATGAGGCTACTTTTGCCCATTTGCATTATTTATTGCCAATTTTATGTGCGAATAAATTTTTAAAAGAGTAAACATTATTTCTCTAATTGCCACTTGACATAACATTATATGGGTCCTTTAGCGATCATTTTAAATGCCAACGTAAATAAATAATTTAAATATTAATTAGTGAACTTATGCTCAAACTCAAGCTCTTAAATCATGTAACGCCACTAGAGCACATTTTACATAAAATGTGCTGGTAAACTAATCTAAACTTAATTTTGGAATTGCTAAAAAATTGGCTGTATTTATTTTCAGTTGCAAATATAAATATTTGCTGAGATACCATGAGCTAAGTCGCTAGTCAATAATAAAATTGTTTGCATAGGAGTACACCCCGTACTCAACAGAAATTTCAGTTATGTAAAACATACAGCAGTAGAAATAATATCCTATTTCCCCCTTTCATTATTTCTTTTATTTTCTCTCATTTACGCACGCACTAAAATGACATCAAAGACTGAAAGCATTAATTGAATTCATGAGAATCACATAGAAAGGTTCTTGCTTTCTTTCCGTCTTTTCGCCTTCCTTTTCAAGTATAAATATGTTTCATTAAGTACGATTTTACAGCGGGACACAGCATATCTGCTGGACAGGCACTTTCTATTAAGGCACTCTTGTATACAAGTGTGAGTATACAGATGAAGGCAGCATTCGTATCTAGAATACCTCCAGGCGGCTGGTTAAAGTCAATTGTTCAAGCCACATGAGTGAACAACAAGCAAAATTCATCAGGGATTTAGTCAGCCCGTCATGCATCGCATCATCACACACAAACAACAACAATAACAACAACAATGAGCACAATAATCAACTAAGCCAGTCGCCGGCTTGAACTTGTGTCTGCTTGTGTGGTTATGTCCTGCGGCTGTGTGTAGCTCACCCACACACACACACACACACACACACAAACATATACATCCTGCACACCTTAGCACACCTCAGCACAAAGAAGAGCAAATACAACAATTGGTCTCTTGTCCGACGAGTTCAAATGGCATGTAATAAAATTTATTTCGTTTAAATTTGAAAATTGAGCTGTAAATGAAGTAAAAATCAGCAAACGTAAGGAATATGCAGCTCGTCAAAATGGATTCAATTTCGCATTCCAATTGGAATGGGCGCAAATGTATATTTAAGTATATACCTATGTTTTATGCTGAAGAGAAAACCTTTTTTGTTTCAACACCGCCAAGGGCAACTGGCAGAACTCTGTTCTTGTTACTCGAAATTATTATTTTTTTGGTAAAATCCTAGCTGAGTCAAGCACTTGGACGTGAGATATACATTAGTCATGGCGAAATGAGCAGAGACCCTTTTTAATCTTTTTTAAAGCGGACTTGTTTTTTGTCTTGCAGGCAATCCATCAAGAGTAGTTTTCGCGATAAGGACAAGCCCTCCCGCTTTAAGGATTTGCAGACAACGACGCGTTTTCAAGTGGAACCGCAAAATGAGGAGTCTGACGGCTCAAATGATTCGCAGGAGGAACGCGAATTACTGGACAACGAATACGATACAAAATATGGTAAAAGTTTTCGGTTAGTTAACGCTGTTAAGAGCTCTTATGGCCAATTCAACTCAAGTTATTGCTATAATTTCGCAGGCATTTTACGCGTGAGGCCCTGCCACGCCTGGATAACTATCGCAACATGATGTCCATACAGGCCGCCTACCGTCCAACGCTCGACGAGCTGCACCATGCAACGCTGGTGGGCAAAGTGAGTATCCTCTGTAGCCTCTTCCGCTTGACATGTCAATTAATATTGTGGTCGGGCCGACCATTGGTAAAGGGTCGCACACAAATTGATTGCCAGCACTTACGTGTGCCTGGGCCAAATTTAAATTTAAAGCAACTCGAGGCAAATTTAAGGCCAGGCAATGGCCTGGCATCCAGACGGAAAAGTCACAGTCATTGTCACAGCATTATTGCCAGCTCCTGTATTTGACACTGCAAATTGAAGCTGCCTTGGAGAAGTGTCAAGTTGCTTGTGGCACTGTGTTCGCTTCTTCTTACACTACGTCTTTTTGCGAAAATTGAAAACTCAGTCGCAGCGCGGCATTTGCCAACAGTCAACAGTTGGGGTCATTAGCATAGCGCCAGAGTTCGAGGAACGTTCAGCTCTGGCGCGTGCTCGTTAAACAGCTGAAAATTGCCGATAATATATTAAGAGACCGCTGCAGCCACTGAAAACCACTTAATTCACCTCAAATGCAGCTATGCTTTAATTAAATGCAAACCAAATGAAGCTTGGCCTGCTTTGTTCTTCCTTTATTTATTTATAATTTTTTTTGGCTCCGACGTTTTTCCAACCTTTTAAAACCCACGCTTGCGTTACTTTTGGGGCCGCTGACTTTTCAATTGACTTTCGCGTTGCCTTTATGAGTTTCCCATTGTGCGAGTGTGTGGGCCGCAGTCATCGCAAATACAATTTCTAATGCAATCAATTGCCACTAATTGATTTTGCACTCGCGCTGTGGTGGGTGTCAATTGATTTAAGAAAGAAAGAAAAAACAATTGTCAATAAGCTGAAAATTTGTGCAATTGTTTTCGATTCCAAGAACTTTGATAGAAGCGTTTTACATCAAAAGTTATAAATATATCCTTGAGAGGCGTTCAAAGGTCATTAAATGCGCAGTCAGAGATTAAAAGCTAAAATATGCGTCACATGCTGCGGCGGTTGCGGTGGCGTATGATTAATTTGTTGAGCAGATGCCAAGATGCGTGTCAGTGGAACCTGCCCATCTGACATCGCCTTTGGAGCATTTAAAGTAGAGCCCATGGCACAGGCTGTGTTTGCCGTGGGGCATCATCTATCAATCCTAGATAGCTTTATTGAAAATGACTTTGGTATTCACTTGCAGAACCCGCACAGCCTGCAACGTAATCGGGACCTGGAGGCGGGCAGCACGAATGGCGTTCTAAAATTTGGCTGGATCAAAGGTGTACTCATACGCTGCCTGCTCAACATATGGGGTGTGATGCTCTTTCTGCGCCTCAGCTGGGTGGTGGGCCAGGCGGGCATCATCGAGGGGTTCGTATTAATATTGACAACGACCGCTGTCACGACCATAACGGCGTTGTCAATGTCAGCGATAAGCACCAACGGCGTCATTAAAGGAGGTGAGTCCTATGTCACTGCCAGGCAGCTGCTTGGTTGTCGTTGTTTTAAATGGTTTTTAATGCGCCTGTTTAGGCGGCACCTACTACATGATATCCCGCTCCTTGGGCCCCGAGTTTGGTGGCTCGATTGGCCTGATTTTTTCGCTGGCTAACGTTGTCGCCTGCGCCATGTACGTGGTGGGCTTCTGTGAGTCCTTGCAGGCCATGATGAGAGGCATGGATGTGCAAATTGTTGATGGTGGCGTCACGGATGTGCGCATCGTGGGTAGCACCACGATACTGCTGCTACTCATTATCGTTTGTGTCGGCATGGAGTGGGAGGCCAAGGTGCGTATGATTAATTTGGTTGATGCTTTATGAATTCCGCCTCAGTTGCGCTTCTCTAAACCACACTCGCTTCCAACCCGCGTATCTTTGTTAGGCGCAAATCGGCCTGCTTTTCATTCTGCTGGCAGCTATCGCTGACTTCATCATTGGCAGCTTCATTGGGCCCAAGAGCGAGGGCGAGCGGGCCAAGGGCTTTATCGGCTATAATGGTGAGTGCCAGCCAATGAGGCGCCATTGAACAGGCTTTTAATCAAATTGAATGCAGCCACGCTATTCCATACAAATCTGTTTCCGAACTACCGCCAGGAGGGCTATGTCAGTCACGACTTCTTCTCAGTTTTTGCCATCTTCTTCCCCGCCGCCACGGGCATTTTGGCGGGCGCCAACATTTCGGGCGACTTGAAGGTGCGTCACACTTGCGTCCTATACAATTTATTAGCCATTTACGATTGCTTTGTATTTTAGGACCCCCAAAAGTCTATACCCAAGGGCACAATTCTGGCCATTGCTATTACAACAGGCACCTATCTTATGATGGTGCTGATATGTGGCGGCACTGTGGCTCGAGATGCCACCGGCTATGTGGTGGATGCGATAAACGGCTCCTTCGAGTTTCTAAACTGCTCGTCAAGTAGGCAACACTGCATTTCCGCTTCAATTTAAATATCCCTTCTAATTAAATTTTGTACAGCATCGACTGGTACATGCCTGTATGGACTGCAAAACTCGTTTCAGGTAATTGAGTTGGTTTCTGGCTTTGGTCCGCTCATCTATGCCGGCTGCTTTGCTGCGACATTGTCATCGGCTTTGGCTAGCTTGGTGTCCGCCCCCAAGGTTTTTCAGGTAAGCCAAATTCCCTATTTGAAAGCACACTGATACCTTTGACATTCTGCATCCGCTGACAGGCTTTGTGCAAGGATGAGCTCTACCCGAAAATCGTTTGGTTTGCCAAGGGCTACGGCAAGAACAATGAGCCAGTGCGTGGCTATGTGCTCACCTTCTTCATCTCCATGTTGTAAGTTATTCATTTGCCAGAGAACGCATAGGAGTAGGTAATAATGCATATGCAAATGTATGCTTGATTCTTGTAGCTTTATACTTGTGGGGGACCTCAACTCGATTGCACCGCTCATCTCGAATTTCTTTCTGGCCGCATATATGTTAATCAACTTTAGCACATTCCATGCGAGCCTGGCCAAGCCCGTGGGCTGGCGGCCCACGTTCAAGGTAAGAATTCTGCTCTCTCTCTCTCTTTGTTGCTCTGACTGGACTAATTACTTTCATCTTTAGTATTATAACATGTGGCTGAGTCTTGTGGGCTCCATACTCTGCGTTGCTGTCATGTTTTTGATTTCGTGGGCCACTGCACTCATCACCTTCTGCGTGGTGCTGGCACTGTACTTAATTGTCGCCTACCGCAAGCCGGACGTCAACTGGGGCTCCACCACACAAGCGCAGACCTACAAGAACGCGCTGATGTCCGTGCAGCAGCTGAACAATGTGGAGGATCATGTCAAGAACTATCGGCCGCAGATACTCGTCCTGTCCGGACTGCCCAATACGCGGCCCGTTCTGGTCGATTTTGCCTATATGCTGACAAAGAATCTGTCCCTGCTCGTTTGTGGCCATGTGCTGCGTGGTTCCGGTTCGCAGAAGTATCGTATTTACCTCAAGGAACGTGCCTCTATCTGGTTCCAGAAGCATCACGTCAAGGGCTTCTATGCGCTGGTCGATGGCGAGGACTTTGAGGCAGGCACGCGTGCCCTTATGCAGGCCACGGGGATTGGCAAGCTAAAGCCCAACATCATACTCATGGGCTACAAAACCGACTGGCAGACGTGCGAGCGCAAGGAGCTGGTGCAATATTTCAATGTCATGCACAAGGTGGGTGGCAGCTGGCGGGGATCTGGTTGGAGCCTGAATTTAATGTTTCTGCCATTTCTCTAACAGGCTCTAGATATGTATCTATCCGTGGCCATACTGCGTGTGCCCCAGGGTCTGGACTGCTCGCAGCTGCTGGGCTCGCCGGAAGGCGGATGGACCACAGCCAACTGCACTCTGGACGTGCCCCGAACGCTGCAGCCCAACGAGAGCTCCAACGATCTGCAGGCCAGCGAGCATATTGCGCAACATGGCCTCAGTGGCAGCGTGGACTCCCTGAGTCGCAATGTATCTCAAGGTAAGTTGACTCCGGCTGCGGTCCAGCTTCAAGTAGACCACTTATTAATGCTGAAACTTTTAATTATTTTTGCATGGACCTCAACAAAACACAAAAAAACAAATGCGCACCTGTTCACACTAATTAACTTTATATAAAACCACAATTTATCAATGCACCACAAACTGTAACCACAAACTTTTAGATGCCGCCAACAAATTGGCACCCACTGACAATGGCCTGAAGTATGTCAAAAGTAAGTATTAGCTGCGCGAGTTTTGTTAAGGATCAACATTTCTTCTGGTTTTTGAATACTATACAAAATCACATTGATGCTGAGTTCCGTTTGCGTGTGCCCTTCCTGTTCCCATTCCAATTCCAATTCTACAATTTCCGTTTCCGTTTCCGTTTCTGTTTCTATTTCGTAGTGCGTTTCAAGCAAAGCCTAAGTAGAATACGCTCTTGGCCAGGTGAAGTTGAGTGTAAGATCAATTTTACGTGTCTTAAGGTAATTGATTGGAATGTGAAGTTAAGTTATTGTAGGGTCACTGCCACTAGGTAAATATGTATATGTATGAGCAGGCTCTACCTCTACCCTTCTATTCCGCATTCCGCATTTCGCACCGTGCATGTTATGCATGCATAAAACCATAACTTTTGCCGTTGCCTTTAATTAGGCCACGTTTTATGGCCAGCTAATTAATTGCCATTGTCGCATGCAACTAATTCATAACTAACTGAAAACTACTCTATATAAAGATTGAGCCAAGTGGCGACCAGTTCAAGCAAGAACAAGGATTTTAGAGGCTGCCAGCTGTGACAAAACCCTTTCGGCAATTTGTTGCTCCCAAATTAAGAAAAGCCCGTAAATTTGAATTTAAATTTATACAATGTTCCCTTAAAAGCACAAACCCCGAAACTGTGCGGACTACATGTGGAGTCGTTACAAGGCCGCAGGTTCCGTAGGGGCCAGGGGGTCAAGGGAGTTTGGGCGGCACAGCACGTGCATGTATTAAGCATTGTTTTGCTTACCATTTCCCAATTTGAAAATAAATTGTGCAAATTCGAGAATGGGCAACACCAAATAGCATAAAACTGTGTTGTTTATGGTATTGTTTATGATTTAATGATTGGCAATGCGGCTTGGCTTGCCATTAAGTGTGCATGGGCTTTGTCTTGCATTAAATTCAACTACATATTTAAGTATATACTTATATATCCATCTATATCTATTGTGTATGTATACCGTCCACAGCATCCAGCACCAGCGACTTATCGTTCATAGCCGGTAATCAGGTGAAGGATGTCTCTGTGTTGCCCGATCCCCTGGACGCCAAGGCCGCAAATGAGCAGGTAAGTGGGCCAGATCATCTCTATAATAAATCGTACTCAATTTGCCGGCATCATGCAACAACAATAATAACAGCCCAGCACACTAAGGAAATCGAAGGCGAAACACGACGATCCCGTTTCACTCTACAGAGGACCAGGTGGCGTGGAGCTATCCAAGGAGGTGCTGGCTGACTTGACTCAATTTACGCGAAAGCGCAGCCACGCCATCATCGATGTCTGGTGGCTGTACGACGACGGCGGCCTCACATTGTTGCTGCCCTACATCATCAGCACTCGACGCACCTGGCAATCATGTAAATTGAGGTAAGCAGCAAGCCAGGCCGGGCCATTTTCAGCAGGAAGCTGTGTATGTGGCTCACATCCCAAGGCATTTAAAAAGCCCTGTGCGGATTTATTTGGCATGAATTGAATTTTATTGAAATATGCCAACGCGTGGCAGCAACCACGGCTGCGACTTGCTCTCCTGACAAGATACTTTTTAGCTGAATTCCGTGCGAGTTTATACCAGGCAGTCAAACAAAATAGCTTCAGCAGACTCCCTAAGTAGGGAGCAGGCCTTTGCCGGGTCTCGGCTCGACTGACTAACTGACGCAATGATTGCTTGAGAGACGCGTGTGCCTGGCAAATAGGTCATCCCGACAGCTCTGAGACTGACAGAGCGACACTTGGAGAACCTATCGCAACTGCACTGACGCATTGACGCGTTAAGTATAACATTTGGTATGCCAAACGAAGCGAGTGATTCGAGTTTTCGTTTTGTTCATTTTATACTCTGTTCTTAATTGGGAAATTGGGCATATTGAGCTTGCGTAGCGTCCGTATGATTGCAAGCAAATTACTGCTACCAAAATGTTTCCATCTTTGACAGTCATAAAACTGGAGTTGTTCATATTAAATTTATTTTTAGCTCGTTTAATGTTTAGGGTATCTCTCAGTCGATGCCACCCTTTTCATTGTACTTACTTTCTTATTGGCTTTCCAAAAACGCGAATGAGTTTTTGCAAATGGAAGCTCTTCGCGCAACATCTGTGAATTGGATTGAGCCCCTGTCGATACATACTATCCTCAATATATGTAATTGCACTTGCACAAAGGGAGAATTCACACTTGGCTTTTAAATATTCACTGCACAGGGTCTATGCACTGGCCAACAAGAAAGCGGAATTGGAGTATGAGCAACGTTCGATGGCCAGTTTGCTGTCCAAGTTTCGCATTGACTACTCCGACTTGACGTTGATACCCGACATTACCAAGAAGCCGTTGGAAACATCCACACAGTTCTTCACCGAACTGATTAAGGATTTTGTTGTGAGCGATAAGGAGAATGGTCACAGCAGCAAGGGAACCCTCAACGAGGACGAAGGTGAGACTCCTTGACCAACTGCCAGCTACTTCTAGGACTGTCCTCTTCCATTTCTATGCTCCAGCTCACATTAGCGAAGATGATCTGCTGGCCGTTGTGGACAAGACGAATCGCTACCTGCGACTGCGTGAGTATCTGCGCGAGCAGTCAACCAAATCGGATCTTGTGGTGATGACGCTGCCAATGCCGCGCAAGAACATCGTTTCGGCGCCCCTCTACATGGCCTGGCTGGAGAGTCTCAGTCGTGAGATGCCGCCCTTTCTATTTGTGCGAGGCAATCAGACAAGCGTGCTCACCTTCTACTCGTAGGCGCGGATTGCGCCTCTTCAATTGTATTCTGCTTTTAACCGAACTCTCACTCTTGTTGTTAGTTGTACGAGTACAGGAATTTTATGTTATTCTAGTTGTACCATAAATGTATTTATATTTATATATAGACATATACGCTCAATCGCAACCCCAAAAAAAAAAAAAACCCAACCATGACGCACACAGACGATTAAATTTTATGCAGACTTGTATTCATGCCTTCTTTTGTATTACATTTGTGAAGAATTTCCTGAAAAGTTATTTTCGTGTTGCCTTTTTGTTTTGGCCCGTTACGTGCGTGTCCTTGCGGCTATTAAATATTACCCTGGTTTTATCTGACTCAAGGAGTGATCCGAGCTGCTCGTTGGGCTTATCCAAAAACTGTGCACTTTCACGCAGCTCACGTTTGGCTCCCAATTGCATTGGCATGTAATTGAAATAATGTTGACCTCAAGTCGCGCTCAAGTAATATTATGCCGAGCAATGCTTAAGGCCTTGGACTTGCCACTCGGCATATTAATTTGTTCATTTTGTATTTAAGTGTTATGGGCTGTTCTGGTGACCCGTGTCCCTTGACCCGGCACACCAAATGCGGATTGCGATTGCGATTGCGATTCAATGGGCATGAAGACGCGCTGCCAGACCCCCAAAGGGCAGTTTGGTTACGTCTCGTAAACTCGCAATTCAATTTATTGCAGTGGAACTTTGTTTTAATTTTGAATGGCAGCGTCCTTTCCAGAGTACAATATAAAATATACAGCAAGTGGGAGACAATATGAGATGATTTAACAGCCTTTTATTGAGAGTCTATCAAGTTTAGCAATCATCTTCCCATGGGGAGCATTTGCCGAAATTCCAATTTTAATATGCAGGGCCCTCAAATGAGTTCGAAGACTTATTAAACAAACTTTTGTACACATTATTTAACATTTTTAACCCATAGTATGAGTTTTCATAAATTATCATAATATCAACATATTACATCGGTTGGGATGAAAAATAGCCGCTGCTTGCTTTATCCTTTCAAACATTTTATTTACACTTATTTACACTAGCATTGCATCAGTTGGATATCCGTTTGTGGTCGAGTTTTTGCCATGACATGTCATCAACGTCAGCTACAAAACACTCTTTCCAATAATTGCTTTTCACTCGTCTGGTTGTCTTTCTTTTGGGTTTATTCGTTTGACTTGCTGACGAGATTATTCAGTTGGAAGGAATTAACATTTTGCTGATTGGCTTTTTGAATATTACATTGTGGCAAAGCTGATGGAAATTGCGTTTAACAAGTATATGCAGCGTTTATTATTGTCATAGCCACACTTAAATCGCTCGCTTGTATGCACGCACAAATTGATATTTAATTTATGCTTGTTTATTTACTAAAAACACTGCAATTTTCTAAAATAAATACCAACTACAGATAACGTTCACGATTGGACAATCAATTCGGTTGACATTTGAAGCACTACCAAATATTTTCTTACATATATATCGCCCTGCTATGCGACTCTCATTAATTCAAGTTACGCTGACAAGTTTAAATACTCTGATTTAAAGTGTTATGTCAACAAGTTTTCGTGTTAATCTAATAAATCTTCTGTTAGCTCTAGCTCTCACTCGTGCTTACTTACCTGCACTCTATCCATCATTATTTCTCTTATTTCTGCAGCGAAGATTTTTATATTTACATATTGAGACACTGTTATGAATATTTCTATTCTAGAAAGTCAGACCTAGGCAACGGGTGTCTCCTAGGTCTCTCCTACTCTACATCTGCACTGTTGACAATTGTTGGCATTTCGTCTGCTGGGACACACGAACCGTGCTGTGGTGTGTAGTATTATTTATGTGACACATTTTCTTTTTATCAGTTTTCCGTGCACCCTTAAGAACACTGCCATTTGTATTTACATCAAAGTGGAATAAGTATTTTATCTCACTTCTTAGGGGCCAACGCGGCGAATGAGTAACATATCGTTTGCATTGCGGGTGACGCTGAAAAATTACCGCCATTGCTTGGCACCTCAAGTGGTAATTAACTGTCGCTGTGTGAAATGCTTCTACATAAAAACACAAGAAGCTCGTATTGAAGGGCAACTATGCGCCTGGAAGTATGCAGAAAATAATAAATTTCCCCAGAGAAGCTTTATTACTGCATGTTGAAGCTTGTATCCCCATATGTGTGTATTTGTATGTTGGTGTTGGTGTGTGTTTTGACGTCTAATGAGCTAAGTTTCGCATGCGAGCTGGCGTCGCTTAAATCAATTAAGTTTTTCTAAGGACCACAACGAACACAAAGTGAACTCGTGCGTGCCGAAGTGTGTGCGAGCGGATGATGCACAAGGACTGGAGCCCCTCGCCAAACAATTTGGACAGCCGTTTAAACACTCGACGTGATGTATGTGTCGCATACACTTAAAGTTGCCGCCTAGCGGCTACTTGAGCCCCTCCCATGAAGCAACTTAAACTGCTCGTTGCTAGTGAAATTTGATTCACAAAGCAAGCAAAGCTTCAGTAACTAACAAGTGCTAAAGTGAAGAGTTTTCTTAATCCTACAGCAGAATCCTTTCATTAACAAATAATTCTGCTGCCATTATTGTGGTGCGAGCAAAAAGGAAGCTGAGCAGAACTTCAGACTCAAACTGTGTATGTGTGTGTGTACGTGTAATAGTACGCATAAAAGCTTTTTGTTATTCCTGTTTAGGTATTTCCGCGTGTGCGCGCTTCTTGAAGTTGCTTCATAAATCGCATCGAATTGTTGCTGCTGCTTAATTTAAACGTGTAGTACACATGTCTACGGCTGAATGACTATATGACTGTGTGTTGTGTGTGCCAGCAAGTGCTTTGGCTTTATGGCTTCTACGAAACACAACATGTGTGCCCGGAGAAAGTGTTTGTTTAAATTATATGCCAAAAGTTTCTTTCTGAGCAGGCATAGGGAAATACGAGTAACAGCTGTGGGCTGGGCTAATTGCTGCCCGAGTTTAGCCTTTTAATGATTTGCCTATCGTCTAAGTTCAAATATTTAGCTGGGAAAGCCGCTTAGTTCGAACTCTTATAAAAGCACCTAACTTGTCTGTGTTCTTGACTTTTTTTCAACAATTTAATCTTTTTATTGTTCCAAAATTGTTTTGTAAGCCGCTTTTAACGATTTGCTAATGCCGAAACGACAAATTTTCTACGCATCGCAATCATCAGGCCAACACAATAACAATTGCCACACATCCTCATACTCATGCACACTTGAAAATTTTGATTGTATTCGTTGGCCGAAACCAGTGTCATAAGCCTTTATGTGCAGCCAGCGCAATGGATCGGCGGCAGTTTTAAATGGGGATTTGAACGTTGAGAGGCCAAATCGATCCAAAAGTTAATCCAATTAGTCAGTTATTATTGTTATCGAATGGATGTTATTCGTGGAAAGTGCAAAGCGGCGCAGTTTGAAGCACTTGTCTACCCTGAGTCTTATGCGAATTTATATCATTACCAAGAATGGAACTGACTTTCACAGAATTGACAACAGCCTCCACTTTATTTTCTCTTTGACTTTAAATTTAGCCAGGGACACGCTGCGGTTGAAAATCAATTTTCGACTCTGCCAGGATTTTACGCACGATTGCCCGATAAGTTTTGATAAATGCTGTGCGAACTAAAGTTCAACTGCTTGAGTTCATTTCGTGGGACAGCTCACCTCATGCATGTGCCCTGACCTACATCAATAACTCAGTTTTGCGTTCGACACGGTAATTAAAAATTGAAGGCGCGCGTTGCCTGCTCACTTACAGGCCCAGCTCGCAGAACATAAATCAAACGGATCCGCCAGAAAAACACGTGCAGCTCGTAAAAGCTACCGACACATTAAGCTGTCAGCACGACGCGGCCACAGCCATAATTACAAATTCCAGTCCACACATTCTAGTCCTAAATCAAACGCAATGCGGAAACCTTAATGTGACCACAATCGCGCAGAATTATCACGCACCACCACGGCGAGTTGCTGCTGGTTCTGGGACATTGCGCGGATTTTGCTTGCAGCACAACACGGCGTATGCGTAACGCTTAAGTGCCAAAGGAAGGCGACCAGCAGTCTGCAAAGTTGAGCACTGCAAATTTGACCAATGACTTATGCACAAATTTTGAGCCTTCGCATAGACTTTTAAATACTTTGAGCCGCAATTAATTTGGTGGCGCTGACTTGCCATATTTCGATGTCAGTGAATTGGCAAACTTTGCCCGGCGCATTAAAGTACGTGGGCGGCAGCTAGCAAAACGCTTTAAAGAAAATAAATAAACATCCAGCTTCTTTTTTCTTGCCACAATTTGTTTACACTAGACGCAATAGATGGTGTGAGTAGGGGTATTCATGAGCACGAAATCTCTGGCATGCCCTTAGAAAACTCATAGATTTTTCAGGGGCCCGGACACGTCATCCCCAATGACTTCCAACTTTCTACAGCAGCCATTCTGACCCTGTGCACCTCCTCGTAGACTCGTTCAACATTTTATATTCCTCTGCGTAGCATTATGTTCTTAAAATTATATTTGACACGCGTTTATCGTATAAATACTGCGCGTGCATCTGTACATACATGTACATGTGTATATTTGGTATATATGCCTGCAGTCGTGTGTACCAAATGTCGGAGCATGGCAGCATACCCTGTCCAGTCAAGTGACTGTCCATAAACGTGCCTTTATTTACTGCCGACATCATCGAAGTGCCGAAGCGCAGTCGCCCCCCCTAACCTTTTGTATCTGGGCTACAGCAGGAGCTATGTCCTGCAGGCGGATCGGTCGATAGCGCGTATTTGCGACGCATCGTCATTTGCTGCCTCATAAAGCGGCAACGTAGTTTGCTTGCTAAGCTTTAGGCATGGCCGGAACAAGACGGGATAAATTATTAACTAAGCAGTTACATTTTGCTGTGTTGTGGCCATAAGAAACATGGGGCGCCCTGGCTGCCACATGGCACACGCCATGCTGTAGGACTCGCGGCTGCCAACGCTATAAAGCACTAAACATTTTTAATGAAGCTCGAAAATCGAAAGTTAACGTTTGGCTGCTGCGGACAACGCGACACGGCCCCTACGGGGACTCTCGCATCGAACAATTTTCAAAGACAGCGACAATTGCAAAATTGTGTGTCACGTGTACACAATAAAATGTCGTCACTTTTAAAGAGGGGGCGGGTAATAGGTGTGGGCACGAA